CTGCAGAAGGAGAAGGGAAAAGAGAGGATAAAATAAACTTTACTATGATTAATTCAAAACTACTACTTCCTTTTCCCCACCCAAACGTTGAACTCTACCTAGATGATTTTAACAATGTTTAAAAAGGAGATACTCTCTCTGATGATAAAGTACTCTAGGAATACACTAACTAGTAAGCCTCAACATCCCCTGGGAGGTTGGTATTATAAATAATACCCATTTTAAAGATGTAGCCACTGAACTACAGAGAGGTCAAGGTACTTGCCCAAGGTAAGCTAGTAAGTGGTAGTGCCAAGAAAAGAACCAAGCAGTCCTGACCTCAAATTCCTTGGTCTACTCACTATACAACACACTTCCCCTACTGCCACAACATACTGCATTCTATGCTTAACAGATGCATAACCCGAGGTGTGTATTCTGCATCTACTTTCCTCTTCCACAACTGTGCAGCGAAGCAACACTAATGTAGTAGCAGGACAATTCTGGGGCAGCATGACAGACTGGCAAAACAAGTTTCTTTTCATTCGCTGGCTTCTAGCAAGCATAACCTATCTATATCCACATTAATCTTAAGAAATTGCCATATAGACCCCACAGAGGTCCGGCTAATTGTCTCATTCATGACTCTTATTTTACATCTCCCTCCAACACCCGTTCAGTATTGCTTCACGGGGTACTGACATAATTTGCTTGCTTGAGATTTAAGGGGGAACTAAGGGATTACAATATGGATCTATTTTGGTGGATTCCCTAGTGATAAGCAGTGACTCTTCCACAGGAGGACCCAGCAAATCCAACACTGATAGACATGATTACAAAGCATTCCCTAATCTGTCTGGCTGAGCAAAAAAAATCTGGCCCTGCTTGTTCTGACATGGCCCAGTCAAAGTGTGCAGAATCTCTCTCTCAAGAACACAGAGGTAAGCAGAAGAGTGAAGAGTGGAAGCACTCCTGAGGCTAGTGCAATGCTCCCTGTTTATGTCCAGGCAGTACAAGCACAGCATCTATTAATGCACTACCTGTGCTCTCAAGGGAGGGTTTTATGCACCTCCATGCAGGACAGGGAAGGTTTTTCTGAAGAACATCATGCTAGAGGCAAATTCCACAACACTGCAGAATTTCTATGCAGAATTTGTAGTATACACAATAACCATAAAGAGGGCAGAAAAATAAGAGACTATTCAGACACACAATGACAGAGAAAACTCTTTTTGAACATTTCTGGTTTATAACACTTGCTCAGTGGGTTTAACTTTTAGAAAATGCAATTAGTTAAATATAAAATTAGTATTAATATAAAATTAAATGTTCAAAGGTCTGGAAATTCCAAGAGTTAAGGTATCTCCTTCAGGGTTAGCTATACACCTATGTAGTCCTTTTTTAGTGCCATTTTCATGGTTAAATGTAAACAGCTATTAACTAGTTCTTAGGATTCTTAAGCTACATCGAACAATACAGGCTATGTTAATGCTTCAGTTGAAGCCTTAACTTTTGGAAGTTCCGGAGTTCAGGCCTGATCCAAAGCCCATTGAAGTCAATGGTGACTCTATTGACTTGAACAGGTTTGGTTCAGGCCCTTAGTTCTCAGCTCCAGTTTTACATATAAATCTCCACACATGTACTCAGATTATAAAAAAAAAAAAAAAAAAAAAGTAAAAGTGCTACTAAATTGCAGCACATCTATAAATGACTCATATTTAACTGACTTGGGGGCAGCCAAAATCCAAAAATTTTTAAACCACATGTGTGAAAATGCCAAATTTAAGCACTCTTCATTTAAAAACTACTGGACTGATTTTCTTCACACTTGAAAGATAAACGAATATGATTACTCCCTATAAATACACAAGGGAGGGGGTAGATACCAGAGAGGGAGAAGAGTTATTTAAGCTAAAGGACAACATTGGCACAAGAACAAATGGGTATAAACTAGCCATGAATAAATGTAGGCTGTAAATTAGAAGTTTTCTAACCATCAGAGGAGCGAGGTTCTGTTACAGCCTTCCAACAGGAGTTGTGGGAACAAACAAACTAACTAGTTTTAAGATGGATAGTTGCAAGTTTATGAACATAATTATAAGAGGTATTGCCTATGATAGCAGGGGACTGGACTCAGTGACCCGGGAGATCCCTTCTAGTCCTGTCATGGTATAGACAGAGATGGTAGATTGGGAACTTCTATTCACCCTGTCTCATAACACAAAAACAAGGGAACATCCAATGAAATTAAAAGATGAGAACGTAAAAAAAAAACAATAAAAAAAAAGAAAAACACTTTTTAACACAAGTGATTGAACCATGGAACTCATTACTACAGGAAGTCAATCAGACAAAGAATTTAAGATTTAAAAGAGTGGGTATTTATACCCAGAGTTATCATAATAGATAAAAACAAAAATTATGGAAGGGATATTAAACCTCATGCTTCAGGCCTTAAAACAATAACTACCAGATTAGGAAGACACCAATGCAAGGGACAGATTGTCATACATTTATCTAATGAGGAAAGGTCTCACTAAGACTGGGCACATTTTTTTTCCTGAATAGTGTATTTGAAAAGAATGCAGTTTCAGTCAACTCTAAACTATTCATGATTTTGACCCAAATTCGTCAAATAGTTTCAGCCAATTTTTTTTTTCCCGGGCTAGATTCACAAGGAGATTTAGGTGCCATTCAGAAAAGAGGAGGAGGTGGTATCCCTTTGTACCTAATTACCCACTGGTTAAGGCACTCACCTGGTATGCAAAAGACTGGTGCTTAATTTGTAATAAAAGAGATGCCGGGACTCAAGCAATTTTTTACTTTAATAACTGCAGCAAGCCCAGAGGTGCTGGGGCTATGAACTGCCAATCTTAGAGGTGCCAGGGCTCAGCATTTTAGGAGACTCAGGTTAATTTTACCACTCTGTAACAGGGACTTCAAACCAAGTATCCCACATCCCAGGTAAGTGTCCTAATCACCGGGCTATTCGGGGGAAGGGGGGGTGGAACTCTTTCAATCTCTCCTGTTGAAGTTTTTCCACTTTGTATAAATACTTAAATATTACTTGGTCCAGAGAGAGAGAGTACAACATATGCCTTGTGAGGTATCATTTGAAAGCTAATAACTTACTGGTCAATAATATCATGATGAAACATACGTGGCAACATTATATGTAAAGTTAAGAATACCCCCTGTATGATGTTTGTTAGCACATGTTCAAACCCACACAGCTGTGACAAGGCACAAGTTGTTAAACAAGTCTATCCTCAACAAAGGAAGAAACGGTTACTTAATGTAACTGTGGTTCTTCAAGACGTGATGCAGACCTGTACTCCACTTAGATGTGTGCGTGCCCAGTGCACCAGAGCTGGAGAAATTTATGTAGCAGTACCCGTAGAGGGGTGGCGTTCACACCTCATGGCTGTAGCTCCTCACTTGGCTACATAAGGCAGCTCTGCCCTGACCCTCTCTCAGTTCCTTCACCTCAAAATGCCCAGAAATGAGACTCCGATGCAGAGAGGACAGAGGGTGGGTCGTGGAATACACATCTGCATCACATCTCCAAAGTACCACAGTTACAGTAAGTAACTGTTTCTTCTTCAAGTAGCTGCGGCTGTATATTCCACCTAAGTGACTTACAAGCCGTCCCCTCCGCCCCTAGGAGGCAAGGCTTGGAGTCTACCTAAACAAAGACTGCAGGACTGTTTCACCTTGCATCCCCCTGGAAGAAGCAGTTATGGCGTAATGGTTCATGAATGTATGCATCAATGACCATGTAGCAGCCGTGCAAATGTGCAATACAGAAAGGTCTCTGAGAAATGCTATGGATGCTGCTTGTGCCCTCATAGAATGAACTCTCACCCGCTGAGGAGGCAGAGCCAAAGCTATTTCATATGCATTTGGAGACTGTCTGCGAAGAGACCTCTTGACCCTTCATGCAATCTGCATATGATGGCATGGCATTGGAGAAGACGGATCTTTCCTGAATGGGGGGATGAAATGCCAATATTGCTGCCAGATGCAGTTTCAATGAACTAAACGCAAGCCCCAACGATTGAAGGTGCAGCAAGTACTTCAAAATGTCCTGAAGAGAGACCAGCAATGTTTGTATTCCGCAACAAATGACCACACCAAAAATCTCTTCCAATTCACTGAATAGGCCATTCTGGTGGAGAGATTTCTATTGTTAAGGAGGACTTGCTGGACAGCGTCCGAACACCGCTCTTCCTCTTTATTCAGCCATGCAGCAGCCATGCCACGACATGCAGGGAGCTGAAGATAGGACGTAAGGAGCGGCCTTGGTTCTGAGTAAGTTGGGATGGTAAGGAAGTGGTTTGGGATGCTGAACAGACAGTGCATGAAGGTAGGAGAACCAGCTCTGCCTCAGCCACGCAGGGGCAATGATAATTAGCTTGGCCCAATCCACCTTGAGCTTGAGGATGACCTGAGGCATGATTGAGGGAATGGCATACAGAACAGCTGACTGCCAGCTGAGGTGGAAAGCATTGGACTGAGGCCCCCTCAAAAGCAGAACAGACATTTCCTGTTATCCCTTGTAGCAAACAGGTTTATTGCTGGGACGCCCCAAACTGTGAAGATGACCCAGAGTACATTTGTCCTCAGAGACCACTCATGACTCAGGAAAAATACCTGATGCGATGGTACGCGAGATGATTCTGAACCTCGGGCAAGTGAATGGCTATCAGAGTAATGTTTTCCTCAATGCAGAACTGTCACAGCCAGATCGCTTCTAGACAAAGCAACCTGGAGTGTGCTCCTTCTTGTTTGTTCACATAGTACATTACAGCAAAATTGTCGGTAAGTATGTGAACTACGGAGTCTCTGATGTGGTCCTGAGAAGTATGGCATGCATTGTAGGTGGCCTGAAGCTCCAGAATGTTGATTTAGAGTGAGACCTCTTGCTCCGACCACAGCCCCTGTATTTTCAGAGACTCCCAGGTGTTCCCCATAACCTATCAAGGAGGTCTCGGTAACAACCAACATGGTTGGCAAGGGCC